GTATTGGGATCATTTAATTCTGCAATCTGCTCCTTTTAGTTGAATTCATTTATATTTAATTATAAGATGGGCTTAGTCTACCATTTTGGTTAGCTATTTATCATATCTCATTTTAATGCCACTGTTTGCACTTTCCTGCCTTCTTTAGTTTAACCACATGTTGTTAAATTGTTATATTTTCTTTTCTTATAAACTTTCAAGCTAAGAATAATCTCTTAGCATTATTTTTAAACATTACTCTAGGTTTTATAATGTATCACACATGCATTGTTTTTGAAGAGTTTTTTCCCAGTACATATGAAATTCAGGGCTAATGGTTTTTTTCTTCCAGTATTTTAGTCATGTGTTTGAGTGATTTCTTTCTTTTTTTGATTGATTTCTAACTCCTTTGTTTTTAATCAGAGTCCAGCCATCATTCTTATCATGGGTCTTGTACACAGAGTGTTTCTATTTGCTCTAGTTCCTTTAAAATTTGTCTCGTTTGGAGTTTCAAAAGTTCATTATGTTTGTGATTTTTTAAAAATTTATTTCACTAAGTTTTACTGAGCTCCCTAGATCTGAATGCTAATGCTATACAGGAGATTGGAGAAATTTAGGGCATTATATCTTCCAGTATCCCCCCATCTTTCTTTTGTTATTCTAGAAATCTAATTTCATATGTTAGGATATTTCTGTATCACTAAAGTTCTAAGGACCAGCCAAATAGCTCAGCAGATTAAAGTGCCTGCAAGCAGGTGCAGGGGCCGGGGGTTCAATCCCCAGGCCTGCCATAGCGGTCCCGCCTCTGGGGCACGCTGAGATGGTGATTGAGGCTGGCATGGTGGCGTGCACCTGTAATTCCAGCACTTGGGAGGCTGTAAACAGGAGGAGCACTATGAGTCTGATCTAGTAGTGAGACCCTGAACACCCTCTCGACCTTTCCCTAAAAAAAAAAAAATACAGAAAAAATAAATACATAAATAAAGTTCTGTGTACACTAAATTAGTTTCATTACTTAGCTTGTGTAGCAGGGGCTATAGCTCAGTGGAATAAGCACCTGCTTGGCAAGTGCAGAGACTGAGTTTGATCCCAGTAACAAAAAACAAAAACAAAAAAAAAGGGAGGAACGATATTTAGTTTACATAACTTTTGCTTGTCTTCAGGCATTGCTACTTCTATAATTTTCTGTCTATTTGAAATTTAAGATATTTAAGTTTTTTCTGTTTCTCGTTTCTCTTAGCTTATATTTCTTTACTGAAATTCCCTATTTTTAAATATGTTATATTCTTTTCTTTAATTTCATGCAAACATTATACCTGCTTTAAACTCCTTGTTTGTAAATTCCAGTATCTGTGTTATCTCAAGTTCTGATTCTATTGACAGCTTATTCTCTGGATTTTATGTCACATTTTCCTGTTTCTTTGCATGTCCAGTGATGTGTTGTTTGATTTTGTAATAGACTGTATGGATTTTTAGTTGTAGGGAGTCTGTAGATTATTTTTTAAACAGTATTTTGGCTAAATCAGTATTGACTCTCTTGATCCCTAGTTAAATTAGTAGTGAACATCTTGATCCCCTAGATGTGGTTTTCTGCTTTGTTGTGGTGTACTCTATCTAGTTTTGTTCTTAGTCTTACAGCATAGCCCTTACTCTAGGATATAATCCTTATTCCTGAAGCGTTGCTCTTATGGGGTCATAAGTAGCCGAGCAGTGTGCTCCGTGAGCTATCCCTGCTTCTGATGCTCAGCACATCATATAATACTGTGATGATCTGTATTTATGTTATTTTACATATGTAAAAGTTTAAATAAAGGACATTTTTGAGGAGTTAGAATTGCTGGGTATTCCTTTTTGAAATGTTTACAGAAATTGGCAAATTACTTACAACGATGTGCTGCTTAATACTATCATCACGAGTGCTGTGTACAAGTTTCTACATCCCTCTACTGTCATTACAGTGTGTTTTGAAATGTCTTTATCTTTACCAACTTGGCTGGCAGGAAATGCTGCCTAATTATAGTATTGTTAGAAATGAAATGTATATTCATGAGCTGCTTAACTTTTCTTTTTCACAGAAAGCACCTTTGCCAACTGTTAGTAATATTGATCTTTCTTGATATTTAGGAACTCCATGATTATATAGACTAGTTCTTTGGGAAATTATTTGGACTTTTTCCTTTTTTTTTTTTTTTTTAAAGTATGGAGATGTTTGCTTTTGTGTGGTTGCTATCCCAATTCAAGCCATTGTGTTCTGTTGGTTAGATTGTTACAGAGGTCTAATAACCAATCCCACCTTTTCTACCTTGACTCTACTTTGCTCAGTGTATTTTGTACACAGCAGTCACAATGATCCTTCTAAAATATGGAATGAATCATGCGACATGTTCAGACACTTCCAGTGGGTTTTCTTAGTCCAGAACTTCTACCATGGCCTACAAGCTGAACATCACCTGACCTCTGCTGCTACTCTGACTTCATCTTTTGCTATTCATCAGCTGCTTTGCTACAGATTAATTTTGACTTCTCTGTTCTTTCTCGAGTATGCCAAACACAATTCCTTCTCAAGTCTGTTCCTCTTATGTTACAACTCCTTGAAGTTCTTATTATCTATATATTCCAAAACTACTTCTCTTGTTTTCTATTTAAGTGCCATCCTTTTCTCCATTTTTCCCTTTAGTGCTCTCTCCATCTTTTTTTAAATGTAATATATCTGTCAGTCATACCTGATTTTTTTCTTTTTCATGTAGAACAATGCCATCCAAGAGAACTTTATACAATAATGAAAATGTTCTATATCTATGTTATTAGACACTTCAAAATCAGCTAATATGGCTGAATTGTAGGTGTGTGTGGGGGACTACAGATATGTGCCATCACACCTGGTATAAATTTTGAATTTAATTTAAATATTCTCATGTGACTAGTGGCTACTGTAGTATGCAGTGCAGGCATAGGATGTAGAGAGATGGAACCCTGTTTTTGTTCACTGATGCAAGTCGGTACTATGTATAAATGCTAAGTTCCTATTGAACAAATGATATAACAGAGATAGCCATCATTCAAGTTCTTCCCTGTATGCTTACTCTTTCAGTATATAATCACAGATTGTATACTTCTCAGTCATCTCCATTTAGTCTCAAACTTTTAGGCATTCATTAATGACCCTTTAAATCCAGATGTCCTCTCCCTAAAGGTCATTGTATATCAAAGATCCTGAATTAGATAGATCATATGAATTAGACCTGGCAATGTGAATTGCAGAGAAGAAAAGCTGCAAGGCGGGAGAAAAGATCTCTATCACAGGGCTTATATTTGAAGCAAGTATTTAATAAATGCATCCCAATCTTATGTGACCTAGCTAAGTATCCACATAAGTCATACTGTACACAAGGCTAAAAAGCCTCAAATTTGTTCTTTTTATTGTTCTCTTAAATTAGAGTTAAGCTTCTGAAAGTTTCTGAGGATGTTATCCACTGTGAATTTGGAGGGTTCATGAAATAAACTACACCTACTAGTTCATTCTTATATCAGAATACCCATGGCTGTGATCATTAATGAGAACATTTTTAATGCTGAAAATCCATATCCTTATTCTCCATAATATCAATTAAAGATTTCTAAATAGGCTTAATAGTTAAATAGTTTCTGTCAGATGCTTTTAAACTTTACAATGTTAGATATTTTTTAAAGAAGGATGAATAACCAAAGTGTTGGAGCACGTATTTGTAAACTGTATTCCATTGAGCTCCATTGTGAACTGCTCCAAACCTCAACTCCATTCATACAACCTGTCTCCTACCTTTATCTAGTTCCTCGTGTTATGTATTTGTACCTTCATGTGCGGAAACTCTGGCTGGGAAAGTTACTGAAACAAATGTAAAGAGATGAGGGGATCTTGGAGCAATAGCACAATGTTCCCGGAATGCATGGTTAACAATTACAGCAACATCTGCAGGGCTACAGCTGAGCAGAATCAACAGCATTATTCTAAGAGATTTTTGCCCCAATCATTGTGTTCTTCCTTGCCAGATAAGCTTCCTCCAATAAGTTTGACATGCATCACGTAGAAGTCCATCCTGATCCTTCCCTGTTCCCTGGCTAAAGCTCCTATACAAATTTTTTTCTTCTGCATCTTTGTTTTCACATCCTTGGGTCACAAATAAAAGCCCATGAGTTCCTCAGCTTGATTATTTTTTTCTGAGATTGTCTCACATTGATGTATCTTGATGGAGAAGACCTGCTGGGCCTCTTGGAGTTTAGACTAAACTTCAACTCCAAGTAATTTTTCATCCTCTGCACTGCCATGATTGTACACTGCAACTGTTTGTGAAAATCATCTTGTCACAGGGCTCAACTTTGAAAGTCACAGCTTTTAAACTGCCTTCATTTACTGATTATTCAATAAATTTTTTTTCAAACTCAGGTGCCTCACACACAAAAGGTAAGCACTTTATCACTCTACCAAAGTCCTCTCAGTGAGGTTTTTTTTGTTGTTGTTGTTTTTATTTTTTTTTTTTTAGGTTTATTTTGTTTTGCTTGAATATGGGGTCTCCCTATACAGTTTGGACTCATAGTGATCCTCCTGCTTCAGCCTGGGCAGCGCTGGGATTGCAGGTGTGTGCCACCATGCGTAGAGTACCGGGGATTGAGCTCGGGACCTTGTGCTTGCCAGGCAGACACTTAAGCTGCTGAGCTATCTCCCCAGCCTCTCAGTGAGATTTTTGAAAGAAACCAAAAGACAGTGAGCTCAATGGTAATTTCCTAATATGAGGATAATCATTTCTGATTCCAGGTGATGCATTTGATTTGGTTTAGATACCAAGAATACAGGTAATGAGTTTGTTGTTTTTATGGAAAAAGTTTTCAATTAGCAATAATCGTGCCTCAGATAAACCTCATTGGCTATGATACTGCTACTGTGCAAAGCCTTGTCATTTTTATGAAAAATGGATGAGTGGGATGTATATTCTTGTAGAGTTCCACAATGGTCTCAATTAAGCAAGCCTTGCTTTTCTAATCAGCAAGAAGACAGAGATCCACAAGAAGCTTTTCGATTATGGCTAAAGAAAAAACATGAAGAGCAGATGAAAGAAAGAAAGACAGAAGAACTGAGAAAGCAAGAGGAATGCTTATTTTTCCTCAAAGGAACAGAAGGCCGGGAAAAGGCTTTTAAACAGTAAGTTGAAGGCAGAACTTTTTTTTTAAAGACGAATCTGATCTCTTTTCAGTTGTCTAATTGAGACTGTGCATTGCTTCATTCATTCTGAGAACACAGGAGGCCTGGCTTCCTAATCTTGTCAGTAAGCCTTGAGGAGAGTGAGAAGACAGAGTGAGCACTGAGTCTACTAAGTGGAACTAAATTCTCTCTCTCCTTTTTTGCCTGTCTCCTCTCTGCTTTCCTTCGTCTTTTCTTGTACCTTTTATTATAACAGAAATGGTAAATGTACTTTGAGGAAGTGGAAACTGGCATGACTATTAGCTCTAGAAAGGATCTCTTCTAGCTATTTCTCTGGGTATATATTTACAACTTTATAATATGAATTAAAGATACACTTATGCTTCTTTTATGGTGAGCTCATCTAATGCCCAGCCCCTACCCACCTTTTTATCCAGTTAGCCTGTAAATAACTTAGAGATAATTTGCTTAAGCTGGGCTTCAGTTAGGAACCATAGAAAATTATATTTTGTCTTTTTTTAATAGTTATTTATCCTTATTTCTTTAAAAAATATGTACATATATTTACACATACATGTCACACAAACACTTATATACTAGGTATGTGTCTGTATAGTTATTGTCTATGTTGCCATTTTTAAAATTTACTTTATTTTTATCTTACTATTAATATTTTTTAATGTATTTGATTGTTACAGGGTCTCACTATGCAGCTCAGGCTCAGAGTGATTCTCCTGCTTTTAACCTCCCCAGCCCTGGGGTTACAGGTGTACACCACCATGCCTGACTCTGTGGCCAGCTCAGCCCGCCCTGGGGGTGGGGCTAGCACAGCAAATGGTATCAGGGATTGAACCCCAGTCCCTATGCTTGCCTAAGCTTGGCCAAGTGGGTGCTGTAGTTTACTGAGCTATCTTGCTGACCCCAAAATTTATCTTATTTTGAAGAGTAAAAAACAAAAACAAACAAACAAACAAAAAAGTGGATAGCAGATACAAAGACAGAAACAGGGTAACATACAACAATACATATGTTACAGATTTTCAAAACAAGAATAACAAATTAACAATATGTTATCTTAACTAATCAGGCTCGCCTACTTTTTTAGAATGCAAACTCTCCCTTTTATGTTTATTGATGCTTTCACGCTTAGGCTTATTTTTTCATTTTTGCAATGTATTAGTTTTTGAAACTGTCCTGCTAATCGGTTCTGAAACTGTCTCATTGCTATTTGTTTCTCAGTGAAATTAT